CGGACGCTCCTCCCGGCACCGTGGGCTGGGGCTGCGCGGGCGCACCGGGGTCTGCAGCGAGAGGCGCGCGCTTTTCAACCGCCATGAGCCTGTGGGTGGACAAGTACCGGCCCAGCGCCCTCGGCAAGCTGGACTACCACCGAGAGCAGGCTGCGCAGCTCCGCAACCTGGTGAGGCGGGATCCCGCAGCCTGTAAAGCTGGGTCTGCAGGGCGGAGGTTGGGAGGAGTTTTGCCTCGGGGCAGGCCCTGGCCTTCGGAGGAGCTTTCCCTCGATGCAGGCCCTGGCCTTCGGACGAGCTTCCCTGCCGGGCGCCGCCGGAGGAAAAGCGGCCCTGCTTGGCGTCGTGCCCCGCTCGGGAACGCGGTCTTTAGGCGACGAAAAAGGGCTGCGAAGAAGTTAGATTTTCAGGACTGGTGGGCATCTGTGTTTCCCTCTGGCTTTAGTGGAGAATGATCAGTATCTCTGTGAATGAGGTTTACCTTGTTTACTTAAAGGTAGGTGAAGTTTTAACTTGAGCGCTGGGAATAGAACTCGGGACTGTGGAATCGTTTGGACGTTAAAGGACTTATCCCCTGCCATGTGCTGACTTTTCTTTATTAGGCTGATTCACTCTGTGTTTCTTTATGACTGTTATATCTAATGTTAATTCCGACTGTGGAATTTGGTCAGGTGTTTTCCAGGTCATACTTTTTAGCTTTTAAAGAAACAAACTCCTTATTTCATGTAAATACAGGCTGTCTATTACTTGTTTGCCCAGATTCAAGGCTTGCAAATGAAACAACAAAGTAGACATTATATAGAATCACAATGATATATATATATATATATATATGTGCGCTATGATATACATATGCTATTATATATATATGTATATATATATACACAGAATATATGCTTTTTATTTTAATCCTTTTTTACTATGTGTTTATTGCAACTGTCAATCTAGAAATCCTGCAAAGTATTTAAGGGCTGAGGTGTTGTTTTAGTTGGGGGTCTTTTTTGTTGTTTTGGTTGGAGTTAAATGAGTTACATACAGTCTACATTAAAAAAATATGTTCTACAGGAAATATCGCTGCAGGAAAGAAATTAAGCAGTTCTAATTTTAGGTACTGTGTTGTGACTGAGCTGCATTTGAAGATGTCATTTCATGTAAACTTGGGTGAGAGTGGAAGGGTAAATACTCTTTTACAAGGAAAATATTGTTGTAACTTACTGATCTTGTTGCTTTGTGTTCAGGTTCAGTGTGGTGACTTCCCTCATCTGTTGGTGTATGGACCATCAGGAGCTGGAAAGAAGACAAGAATAATGTGTTTGTTAAGAGAATTATACGGTGCAGGAGTGGAAAAACTGAGGATTGAGCATCAGAGTATAACGGTAAAAAAAAAAAACCTCCTACTTGCTGTGAAGTAATGTGGATCTTTATATATTGATTATTTCTGTTTTGAGGCCTTTATATTTATTTGAGTTTTAATTTTTTTTTTGCACTCAGTATCTTCAAACTCTTTTATGTAATTATTCAGACTAGTTTGGTTGCTCAACTGCTTTTACCAGGTATTCTTGTTCTTTAGATCTCCATGGGTCAGAGGATGTGAGTTTGTTTGTTTGTTGTTTCCTGTGGTGGTTTGTCATATTTATTTATATTTTTTTTTCCTAACAGGTCAGTTTGGTCAACATTATGTGTTGCAGTAGGCTGGCTCTCAATTAGATGTGTAGAATTTCATGTGTCTGTAAAAGTAATCCCTATTTTTTTAATAATTAGCACTGCTTTTCTCATATATGCAAGTTCTAACTTATTTTCTTATTCCCATAGTGACATTTCAGCATCGGGGAAAAAAATTATTTTAATTCTATCTGCCTTGGCCTTAGGCATTTAATTGATTATTATGACACGGTTATATTATCCATTCAAAATCCTTGTTATGGAAGGCTTAACCAGCAAGGGGTTACCAAGCTTTATTGATAAGTAGGTTATTTAATACTTTTTAGTTATCAGTAGTGGAACAAATATAATACTTGGACTAGATGATAGAAAGATAGGGTATATTTAACTGTTCACACCCAAATTTAGAGGTGATAGAAATAATAGTATTTTCTTCAAACCAAGTATGGACTTGAAATCCTTTGCCAAGGGAAGTAAACAGCCTCTTCAGGCTCGTCCACAGGTTTTCCCTCCAAAACCTTTCTTTGGAGGGACAAGTTATCATTTATTTTGAACCACTGGTTCTTATAATAGTATTTCTTGTTATGAAACTCAGTGACTGGAGTGTACAGTAAAATGTACTATATGTTGCTATGATAAGTGTTACTACTACTGTTCTACAGACTGGATGATATACCAGTACTCCTTTTCCCCTCTGGGTTTGAGAGGGGCGGGTAGGAAATATGCAAGTCTAGGGTCTCAGCAGTTCTTAGATCTCTGATCTTTGATCTCTTTGGTCTACCTGTCATCCAGCCAGTTGTAATCCACAAGATAAATTTGTGCATATGATTTTTAGAACACTTTCTGAAATTTAGTATGCTTACTTTCTACATAGGCACCCTCTAAAAAGAAAATTGAGATTAGCACCATTGCAAGTAATTATCACCTTGAAGTTAACCCAAGGTAAGTGCACTGTAAAAATGTCCCATTTCAAATATAAGCCGTTGGTCATATTGCAGGTGGTTTCAACCAGGGTATATAAGGGCCATATTGCCCAATTATTCCTAAAGCAAATTAGGTAGTGGTTTATAGGTTTACACTGCAAATGGGAGCAGGGAGAGGATTATTAATTGAACAGCTCTAAATGAACGAAAAATTTGGATTGCTGTATACAAAAGACAGTAACGTTTAACTAGCCATATAAGCATGCTGATATTGAAGACTGGCTAGCAAAGAATTCTGGATTCATTGATTTAACCATTTAGGTTGAAATCAAGAACTTTTATTGGAACCAACACTACCATATTATTAGTTCTGTCAAAAATACAAAAGTAAAGTGATTTGAAAGTAAGCGAGACTTACCCAGTATCTCTTAAAATAAAGTGTTTAGAGCACAAACAGCACCACAAAATACTGGGAATCCTGTCATGAGCAAGGTCAGATGTTGCCTTAAATGACAGAAGCTATAATGGTGTGCTGTGTGTCGTCTTTGACAGTTGTGAAATTGGTGATGACAGTTCACTGACCCAAAGTAAATACTTGTATTTACCTGAAATTCTTTAATGTTGCTATAAATGACAGCAAATGTCATTGTCCATTGGGAGGCTTTGGTTACGTTGGCTTTGTTGTCTGGGTTGCAATTATAAGCAAGTGTGTATCCTGAAGTAACTTTTAGCTTTGTGCTTATTGCTAAATCTTTTCTGATGTTGCTCTGTGAATTTAGAAGCTATTCTTATGTATTAAGTCTCCTTTAAAAGCTTGTTCTGCAGCTCATCTCTGTGTACTGCTGGTATTCAAACACAGCCCTGCTGACCAGACAGTGAGTCTGTGTGTGCTGTGCTATAGTGTGTGAAGTTTGATTGAATTGCAATACTATGAAATCATATTGTGCATCTTGAGTAATGTGAGATGTGATAAATGGCTAACAGGGAAAGGAAATTAACTTCTGGGAAGGACTCTGCAGACATTGAATCAGTTATGGAGCTTTATTAGATAGAACTGTTCTTTTTCCTCCAAATGGAAAATATTGTCTGAATTCCAAAGCGTTGTCTGCTGGTCCCTTGACTGGCTTGGGTAGATACTTTATAATAGGTCCTCCTGAGTAAGTGGGTAGGGAAGGATTTAAGGGACAACAAAATATAAGTTTATGTGGTAACTGCCTTTGTTCATTGTTTCCTGGAACATTTGCTGTGGTTTTCAGTAATCTAGCTTGCAAGTCAGTCCCCAGTGTTAAATCTGAGTCAAGCTAGAGCTGAGCTACTAACCCGTGGACTGAGAAAGCTGTGCAGTGCTACTCTAGGGGATAGTAAGGAGAAGAGACGGGAAGAAAACCTAGTATTTCCCCATGTTTTCCTAGTTTCTAAGAGGAAAAAAGCTAACCATCTGTGCTGTAATATTATCTGAGTACCAGTATTTTATGAACTGTTTTAACTTCACTGTGTCTGCCATTCAAGTTTGTGTAAAGTGTACAGGTTGGTCATAGCATGACACCTAATTTTAAGGGGAAAAGTGTATGCGTTTACACCAGTCCTTTGAGTCAAGCATTCTACTATGCAGTTAGACTTAACTTAAGAAATAAATTTAAGAAAAGCTTTCATAATGGATAAAAATGTTCACATTATGTGTCTTTGGCCAAATCGCAAATAACAGAAGTTTAAGTTTCTCATACCAGAAAAATAAGTTCTATTTTAAAGAGTTAATAAAACATTTAACAACAGTTTCATTACTTCCTAGTACAGCACTGCTAATCCAGCTGCGCCCGCTTAAGCTTTGGGTTGATTTTATTGTTGGGAAGGTAACTTTCAACAAAGTATGTGTGTTGAGCTTAATTCTAACCTCAACAGCTTCTTTTGGCATTCTTGTTTAGTCAGTTGACCAAAGGACTGCTTAGGAGGATGATTTTTTTTATGTGCACTGTAAAGTTGTTGCTTTACAACAAGTTTTATTCAAACTCTTGGTCTAGTGATGCAGGAAACAATGACCGTGTAGTAATTCAGGAACTTTTGAAGACAGTAGCACAATCTCAACAGCTTGAGACAAGTACTCAACGAGATTTTAAAGGTGAGTAAAACCAGTTACAACAAGTCAAAGTACTTTTAAAATTTGTTTTTCAGAGATGTTAGCTGACTTTGTTGTTTGTACCGGTATATTGGATGAGGGCACATGTGACTCTT